ATAAATACATCTAGTAATAAACTAAAAGCTAGTTGGAATATCGTCAACCAAGAGCGAAATAAGGTGCAGTCAGTAAGTTTGCCAACATTATCCGCGACTGAATTTAATGAATATTTTACAAATATAGCTAATACGTTAAGAGAATCTATTCCAGCTAGCAACTTATCAATTGAGAGGTTGTTTGCTCGAGTACCTTCTCCATCTAGTTCTTTTTTTATAAAACCTGTATCGGAAGATACAGTATTACAAGCAGTTAAATCTCTGAAGGATTCCCCATGCACTGACGTTTTTGAAATTAATTCGAGAATACTTAAGGAAACTATTGAATTAATACTCCCATTTTTAACTTCACTAATAAATGTTTGCTTCAACAGGGGTATTTTTCCCCAGTGCTTTAAGCTGACTAAGATTTTACCAATGTTCAAACAAGGAGATCCAAATCTTACAAATAATTATCGCCCAATCTCAATTATACCAATTTTTGGTAAGGTGATTGAAGCCATAATGAAGGCGAGATTATATACTTTCCTTGAAAACAATTCCGTTTTATGTGCGAGTCAATTTGGTTTTAGATCGAATCGGTCTACAACCAATGCAGTGCATGGGGTTGTGAAAGACGTTATCAGAGGACTTGAAAAGGGTGAACACACGGCTATTGCTTTATGCGACCTCACAAAAGCCTTCGACTGTGTCCCCCACGAATTATTATTGGCTAAGTTGGAGCATTACGGTGTGAGGGGTTTGCCACTTGTTTTTTTTTAAGTCGTACTTAATGGACAGGTCTCAGTGTGTCACAATTAACAATAATGTGTCCGAATTTAAAGTGAATAACTATGGTGTACCACAGGGATCCATTTTGCGACCAATCTTATTTATTTATAAATGACATTCATTACTCTCTTTTACCTAAGAAATGTATACTGTTTGCGGACGACACTAATTTGTTGGTGTCACACAGGGACTGTTCTCAGCTGAATGTTCTAATGAACCAATTAATTGAGCGGGAGGAGCAGTGGTTTTCGTTTAACAAACTTACAGTGAATATTGAAAAAACTCAAAGGCTTACTATATCTTCAAACAGAGCAAATGTAAAGGGTGATCAAGTAAAGCTGCTCGGTGTAGTTGTAGATGATGGTTTAAATTGGGCAGGGCATGTTGGATATCTTTTGAAGACACTTCCAAGTACTATTTTTTTACTACGCCAATTGAAATCTGTGGTTAGACTTGAGACTTTGATTTCTTCGTATTTTGCATTTCTTCATACTCGTCTGTGCTATGCGGTGTTTTTGTGGGGTAATTCTAGCCAGTCGATTTTTTCTTTACAAATAAAAACGATTAGAGTACTAGCAGGTCTGAGCGGCAGAGAACATTTCATTAATTTAGGGATCTTGCCATTACCCTGCCTATACATATATTACACTTTAACTGAAATACACAAAAATATAAACAGTTTTTGTCTTCAGTCAGACATTCACATATATAACACAAGAAACTCTAATGCAATTAGAACAGACCGCTTCCGACTTACAAGGTTACAATCAAATTCTCTTAACGTTGGGCTTTATAATAAACTGCCAACTACTGTTAAATCGTTAAATCTGAATTGTTTTAAAACTGTAATTAGGAGGCATCTAAGTCAATACTGTTTCTATACAATACACGATTTTCTTAATACAGATTCTAAATAATTGCTGTTATATGTCGCTTCGTGTGAAGTTGGATTGTTTCGGCTTGTTTGTGATGATGTACTCTATGTGTTATGTTTGATATACTATTTTCTTTGTCTTATACACATTTATATGTACGACTGTATTCACATTTGTACCTTTGACTTGCCATAAATGTATATGATATATGTAACATGGTCCAATAAACTTTCTTTCTTTCTTACTTCTTTGTCTCTTATTTTTTATGTATTTTCTAGATATACGCTAATAAAAGCAATTTTTTATTTTTCTTTCGTTTCAGAAAAAAAATTTTGAAAATTAATGTACTACTTGAAGTAAAAATAGGCTCTATGAATTTTAAATTCTGTCATAATATACGGAGAATAGGCAAAAAATTAAATACTGCTTATTAATGGTAGAGAATACTTATTTAAAAATTTCTGCTAAAAAAGTTGTTGGGAATA